TCTGTAGGCCTTATAATTACTTGAATTACAGGCTACAATTTCCCTACTCACTAATTTATTCCAAGTCTCTAAAATTTGTTCAATTTCAAATTCTACTCAGGTAAAACCTTGTTTTCATTCTTACCTGGCATCTTAAGACAGCATAGTTGCTAAAATCATGCAAAGGCAGCTTTCTTATCCATGTCCAAGATCAAACGTCGGTGACCTGATTTGAGTTGCTTTATTATTATTCATGGAGCTTTCCCTTGAAAATAGGAGTCTCCTGGGATTCCATGTCTGCTTGAATTGGGAGTTCTCATTAATCCTTTTTACTTTTATCTCCAAATGGTCTGAATTCTGGGGCCTTTTTTAGATCAGGTGAATTCAAATCAAACCAATCAACACAGAATTTCACAATAAGTGTTGGCATAAATTCAAATCTATCCAAAATAAATTTTAAAAATTATTTATATATGTCTGAAATCATTCATATTTTCATTGGTATCATTCATATTTTCTTATAATATATGTTGGGAATTCTAAAAAGTTTATTTCACCAAAGGCTCATTAAATTTTAATATAACTTCAATTTATCAAAGTTTCAGACATAAATCACTACTTAGTCAATGTGTAAATTACTTCACTATTCAGAAATGATAAACTATATTTGCTTTCCTGCTATTATCCTTCATCCTCCAAGCACATCACTACCTTATACAGACACATCAATGTATGGCAATGGCCCATTTTTGCTTTTCCCTAGGCCCTGGTGACCACCATTCTATTCTCTGCTTTGAGTCTGACTGTTTTAGGTACCTCACATAAGTGGAATCATAAGAGTATTTGTTCTTTGATGACTGGACTATTTCATTTAATAAAATGTTCACCAGGTTCATCGTGTGATTTCCTTCTTTTCTTAAGGCTGAATAATATTTCATTGTGTGCATACACCATATGCTTTTTATCTGTTTAACTGTCAACGGACATGTGGGTTGTTTCAATGTCTTGGCTATTACAAATAATGTTGCAATAAACATGAGAGGGCAGATATCTCTCTAAATCTCTGATTTTAAAAAATGAGAGGCCAGCCGAAACCGGTTTGGCTCAGTGGATAGAGTGTCGGTCTGCAGACTGAAAGTTCCCAGGTTCGATTCCGGTCAAGGGCATGTACCTTGGTTGCAGGCACATCCCCAGTAGGGGGTGTGCAGGAGGCAGCTGGTCTATGTTCCTCTCTCATTGATGTTTCTAACTCTCTATCCCTCTTCCTTCCTCTATGTAAAAAAATCAATAAAAATATATTTTAAAAAAATGAGAGGCTGGATGTATCCTCTAATCTTATATTATATATATATATATATATATATATATTCATTTTTTATCCATGTTATCCATTTTTAAAAATATATTTTATTGATTTTGTACAGAGAGGAAGGGAGAGAGATAGAGAGTTAGAAACATTGATGAGAGAGAGTCATCGATCAGCTGCCTCTTGCACACCCCCTACTGGGGATATGCCCGCAACCAAGGTACATGCCCTTGACCAGAATCGAACCCGGGACCCTTCAATCCCCAAGCCGACGCTCTATTCATTGAGCCAAACCGGTCTCGGCCATGTTATCCATTTTTTATCCATAAGTGGTAATTGCTGAAACATATGGTAGTTTCAGTTATATTTTTGAGAAATCTCCATAACTTTTCCCATAGCATTTAAACATATACATTCCCACCAACAGTGTACAAAGGTTAAGATTTCTTCACTTTCTTGCTAACACTTATCTTTGATAATAGACATCCTAATAAGAATGAGGTGATATCTGATTGTGAATTTTCTTTTCCCCAGTGATTAGTGAGCACCCTCATCTATACCTATTGGCCATGTGTATGTCTTCATCCATTTAGGCTGTTGTAACAGACTACCATTGACTGGATAATTTATAAATAACAGAAATTTCTCACCTAAAGCAGTTGCCAAATCAAAACACTTGATTGTAATGTTTTTCAACATATACCACTCTTCACCCCAACCATCTGAGACAAATATTTTTGTACTGTAGAAACTTGAGCCTACCTTGTTATTGGGGCCTTTAAAAAAACCACTAAATAAGTCAAATAATGAAAATTGCAAGGCCTGGAAAGATCTGAGGTCCATTTTCCTCCCTCTTGTGACTTGAAATTTGCACAGGGATGCAAGTTGATATTTTTTAAGTTTAGTACAAAGCTGGAGAGTAGAAAGTGTAATTATAGCAAGGTAATATTTATAAATAATATTGCTTTTCAGGTACCTATAATCCTATCTTTAGTATTCAAATAATTTGAATGTTTGACTTTAGCCTCCCAAAATTGAACCCTAAATCAGGGGAGGACAGTTGGGGGCGAGATCAGGCTGGCAGTAGAAAGCTATTGGGAGTGAGTTCAGGCAGGAAGGCAGAGAGGTTAGGGGCAATAAGGCAGGCAGGCAGAAGCAATTAGGGGTGATCAAGCAGGTGAGCAGTTAGGAGCTAGCAGTCCCAGATTGTGAGAGGGATGTCCCCAGTTGGAGAGGGACTGGGACTGAGGGACCCCCTCTCCCCCCCCCCCCCGCTGTTGCATGAATTTCATGAACCTGGATACTAGTATAAAATCCTATATAATTAAAGAGGAATATGCTAATAATCCATTATGCCATGAGGCATAACAACTGAACACATAATGACTGGATTACAGATCTGCAAGAGGTTGGAGTAGCGAACTAAAAGCAGGCAGTCGAGAGCCACAGGAGGGGGCAGGGCAGCAAGCTATAAAGGGGGGCGGATGGTGTGGGGAGAGCTATAGGAAGGCGGCAGAGAGTTAATGGCACATGGATTTGTGTGCAGAGCTACTATTAGTAAAATATATATGTCAGTCAACTGTGTATGTTACTGGTAAGGCTTCTGGTAAACAGCATGCTATTAGTAGTTAAGTTTTGAGGTTATGTCAAAAGTTATATATGGATTTTCAAACTACATGTGTAGTCATTGTCTTCAACCCCTGAATTATTCAAAGATCAACTGAACTGCCCTTTCATATTGTTATAAAGCTACACATTTTGGCAAATTTCTTTGTAGACCTTAGGGTTTGTAGTCACAAAATAAATAAAATTAGGTTAAATTTTATAATTAATTAAGTAAACGAGATGCAAAGACACACACACACACACACACACACACACACACACACACACACACATATATATATATATATATATATATATATATATATATATATATATATATAATATCAGGTTGGGGGAAAGTCAGATTTATCAGAATGTATGTATTCTTACACATAAAATCTGATATTCTTAATCTGGAACCCAATAATTTTTGATTAGGGGAATACTGACCAAGTATTTGATATCTTTAACTGTCTCCTTCTCTTGTAAAGTGAAGCTAAAACCCTGATTTGGTTCAGTGGATAGAGGCTTGGCCTGCAGACTGAAAAGTCCTAGGTTTGGTTCCAGTCAAGAGCACATGCCCAGATTACAGGCTTGATCCTCAGTAGGGGGTGTGCAGGAGGCAGCCAATCATTGTTTCTCTCTCATCATTGATGTTTCTAGCTCTCTCTTCCTCTACCTTCCTCTCTGAAATCAATAAAACTATATTTAAAAAATAAATAAAGTGCAGCTAATACAACAGCTCATGGACATGAACAATAATGTGATTATGGGGGAGGAGGAGGTGGATGGAGATAAAAGAGGATATAGGGGAATAAATGGTGATGGGGAAAAATAAAAGAAAATAAATAAAACTAATAAAACACTTCCCTTGATTTAAGATAGAATAATTTTAGCCCTAGAAAGTTTGGCTCAGTGAATAGAGTGCTAGTTTGTGGACTGAAGGATCCTATTTCATCATTGATGTTTCTATCTCATTCTCCCTCTCCCCTCCTCTCTGAAATCAATAAAAATATTATAAGAAAAAGAAAGGATAATTTTAGTAATGTAGTTAATGTTTGGAACTTGAGATCAAAATTAAATAACAATTTCTCTCTTTCTAGAATAAACTATTTTAAAGATTTCCATCACTTGCTTTAGTTACATATTAATGTGCAAAAATAACACTTTCACAAGTGCAGCATATTATTAGTGTTATCTCTCAGTTGATATATTTATTAATATATTCATTTATTCAGCAATATGTATTTATTATAAACAATCTTACAGGTATTTCATTAGGTAATGAAGATGCAATGGCAAAGACAATAGACATGGTCTTTGATTGCCATTAAATAGTAATTATGTTAGCAGGTAACAAGAGTTGTAACTAATAAATGCAATTATCTATGTCCATAAATATTCATTTGTTTATTGAAGAAGGAAATTAGATTTACTGAATAGAGTATATACCAGAGATTCAGAAGAAAGTAACACAATGCCTCTCACAATAATTTTTAATTGGGAAACATAGACATAAAGATATACTAAGTAAAACATTGCTGTGTTATAATAAAATCATCTCTGGAGTATATTAAAGGCTAATGGGAAATACCATTTCTACTAAAATATCAAGAATATTCATAATGAAGAAAATTTTTTTAAGATTGGTATTGAATTTTGAAATTAGGGAATTGGTAAAAAAAATAGTAAGGTAAATGCTGGCATATATGTGTATAAATATATTGACTCATCTAGTTTGAAAAGTAGCAATCTGTAGCTGGAGTTGAGGTTAGAGAGAAGGGCAGGAATAATAAAACTGAAAGCTTTCTAAAACGTGTTACTAACTTAGCCTTTATCACATAATTAATTGTGACCACTTAGCTATTTAAACTCAAATATTTAAATAGAAAAGAGACATAAAAATTGTTTCAGTGAGATCCCTCATGAAATACTAGAAATGATGAATTGGGTTCAAGACAATAAAAAAATTACCATTATCCTCTTAACGGATAGTACTTTAACTCTCCATAAACCATACTGTTAAATGTTAAATGTTTCTCTGAGAGGAAATGACAAATAAAACGGAAAGAAAAAATCAGGGTAGCATTTTAGCTAAAGCCATACTTGATTATTTGAGCCAGTTCTTCCTGTTCTTACATATCTTCTGAACTGCAGACCTTATCTGTTTAGTTTTTAGACTATAAACCAAGGGATTAAGGACAGGGGTCAAGAAGAGGAAGATATTGGCCATGGTGACATGGAGAAGAGGAGTTGTGAATGTACCAAACCTATGAATTAGAGCCAGCACAATAAGTGGCACATAAAAAATGCAGACAGTGGAAATGTGGGAAACACAAGTATTAAGTGCCTTGAGCTGGCCGTCTTTGGATGCAATACCCAGCACTGTTTTCAAAATCAGGATGTAAGAAATGACAATGAACAGGGAGTCAACTCCAAAGGAGCACAGAACAAGGAATAACCCATAGATGATGTTCACTCTGATAGGGCTACAGGACAGCTTCATAACATCAGGGTGAAAGCAGTAACAATGAGATAGAACAATATCTTTGCAGAATGACAATCGGTTGAGTAGTATTGGCAAGGGTGCCATCAAAACTACACCCCTGACTATGGCTGCAAGCCCCATCCCTATAATCCGAGAAGGGGTTAAGACCACAGTGTACTGTAGTGGGTTTCGGATAGCTACAGATCGATCAAAGGCCATAGCCAGCAAAATGGCTGACTCCATGGAGGAAAAGGTATGGATGAAGAACATCTGTGCTAGGCAAGAGTGGAACTCAATTTCTCTGTGATTTAGGAGGAAGACTTTGAGTACAGTAGGTAGAGTTGATAAAGACAGACCCACATCTGTGGCTGCCAGCATAGACAGGAAGATGTACTGAGGCTCATGGAGACTGGAGATGGTTTTGATAACAAAGAGGATGGTGAAGTTCCCTAGGAGGGCAATTGCATACATGACACACAGTGGGATAGAGATCCATATTTGTACAGCCTCCATTCCAGGAATACCTATTAGAAGAAAACTGGGTGGCTGAAACCAGCTATTGTTTTTGAACCCCATCAATGTATTTCTTGAGATCAGCCCAGGTCAGCTTCTAAATGTTCCTAGTGAAAGAAAAATATCCATTTTAAAATATATTTTATTGATTTTGTACAGAGAGGAAGGGAAAGAGATAGAGAGTTAGAAACACCGATGAGAGAGAGTCATCAATCAGCTGCCTCTTGCACACCCCCTACTGGGGATATGCCCGCAACCAAGGTACATGCCCTTGACCGGAATCGAACCCGGGACCCTTCAGTCCCCAAGCCGACGCTCTATCCATTGAGCCAAACCGGTCTCGGTGAAAAATATCCATTTTAAATCAGTAGGGCATAATCCATGTAACTCGTCTGGCCAATACTACTCCTAGGCATCTTTATATCAAGTATTGATCCTTAGAGGTTTCCAAACCTATTGGAATAACTGCCTGGAATTAAGACAATTGATAAATGCTTTCAAAATGTTAGTGACTAGAATTCTTTTGGCTTATAACACTTGAATCATTGATCAAGTGACAATGAAAAGTAAGGACATACTTTTGTTTCTATTCAAAGCTTAGAAAAACTATATTCTCAGAATGCTTTCTATTTCTCTATTTAATTACTTCTGCATCTAATTTTATATTTACTCACCTTAGCTGAATCTTTAAAAGAAGTTTCTGCACTTTATCTACATAAACATAATGCATAATATTATTCAGGAATCTGGAAACCTGGGCCTTTTCCTGTTATTTACATGCAGAAATAAAGCATAGGATATTTTAATAACCCACATGATCCCCCAAGGCATTAAAAATTCATGTGATACCATTTATACCATTAATTTCTAGGTTGTTTAATATGTTCTTTTAAATTAATATATTGACTTTTCAAAATACAAAAAGTAGTAAAATAATCAAAGTAGATATTGTCATTACTTCTTAGTTGGTGTCAGAATAATATAAAACATTAACAAATAACTGTTTAAACACAATTCAAAATATCTTTTGCTATAACCAGCTTTCCTCCCTTTGCTTTAACTATCTTCCAGAATATCTTGGAATTCATTCTCTTCTCTTATACTTCTCTTTCCATTCTGTTTTTGTCCCTGATTCAGTCAATACAAGCATCAAAAAGATAATTGCTACCATCAACATCCCTGCAACTACCCATTTAAAACTTAAGTATATACTTAGTTCATTTTATTGCCTCTACTTTTTAATACTCCTTGTGCCTATATGCTTAGACCTTTTCTTTTCTTTTTTAAAAAAAATATTTTATTGATTTTTTACAAAGAGGAGGAGAGAGGGATAGAGAGTTAGAAACATCTATGAGAGAGAATCATTGACCAGATGCCTCTTGCTCACCCCCTACTGGGGATGTGCCCACAACTAAGGTACATGCCCTTGACTGGTATCGAACCCAGGACCTTTCAGTCTGCAGGCTGATGCTCTATCCACTGAGCCAAACTGGTTTCAGCTGCTTAGCCCTTTTCAATGAGAATGGTTTTTGTTTCAACTAACAACATTCATCTAGTCACTCTCCATTCTAGCCAGGTTGGTTTCTTAATACGACTATATAAGACTTAATCATTTCCACACCAGAATATTTGCACATTTCCTGACATAATCTTAAATATAATCATGCTTCATCTCAACTGATAGTAATTAAATTCGTTGCTTAAAAAATAAGTCTATAGTCAACATCTTATATAATTCTCCATGAATATTTCATATTAGAAAAATTGCTCTAGCCATTAAATCCCTATAGAATATACTGATTTTTTTCTTACATCTGTCATTTACCACATTTGATTTGATAGCATCTTCCAACTGTTACCTGAATGAGTTTCACTTATCAAATTTGAATTTAAATGCTTGTAAGATTGGTTTTTTAACCTTCACATATCACACGGTAATGAGAATCTAAAACTGTATGGATATGGAAAGCACATAATAAATTTTGCTTAAGCAAATGAATTATATATTTAGAGAGTCCCACTGTATCATATAGTTGCTAACACTCAGCAAAGATTTTTTTAAATTTATTTTTTAATTATTTTTTTAAAAATATATTTTATTGATTTTGAACAGAGAGGAAGGGAGAGAAATAGAGAGTCAGAAACGTTGATGAGAGTCATCGATCAGCTGCCTCTTGCACACCCACTACTGGGGACATGCCCACAACCAGGGTACATGCCCTTGACCGGAATCAAACCCGGGACCTTTCAGTCCCCAAGCCGACGCTCTATCCATTGAGCCAAACCGGTCCCGGCGCCCCCAGCAAAGATTTAAAACTCACCAGTAATTCAGGCTTCCTTTTAAACTCTGTTGTAAAACATTTTTTTTGAAAGGGGGTCATTCTTCCTACAGAGGCTTATTTAGAACTGAAGAATATATGCCACCAAATCTGAAAGGAGAGCAAGAAAGATGTATAATCAGATAGAGAATATACTAGTAAATTCTGCTTATCAATGTGCTCAATTTCCAGTTATCCTTTGCAGGGTTTCTACTTACCTGTGCTGGGTTACTCATCTTAGCCAGAAAGATACTTTACAGACTTTATCTGAAGATCCAAAAGAAAGTTAACTATTCCAATTAAACATGTCCCACTTTCAATCTCCTGAAAAATCCCTTAAAGGCATATAATTTCTCCACTCATATCCCGGAGCCCCCAAAAGATAACCTCTTACCTATGTATTGTGAATTGTTACAAGTTAACCTTGAACTCCATAACAGTCTTCATGATTGTCCAATTAAACTTCTGTGCTATCTATCACCTTTTCCCAACTCTTCATTTTCTTTTCCTTCTAGGGACAGTGAACTTCCACAAATTGTGAATTTATAGAAAACTGTCATTAAGCAGCTCCTAAAGACAATTCTGCCTGTTATTTTAAAGAATGTAAATTTAACAGTTATTCTATATGTTTTGCAAACTCTTCATGAAACCAGCACACTTAGTATGGGTTGACAAGTGAGTTAAGCAGCATTATCCTTCTCTTTTTATGTCATTCTCCTTGGTATACACAGAGATTGGATGATTTCTTATGAGATGTTAGAATCCTCTCAGAGAGGTATATATACCCAGCACCAACCAGAGTTCTCTATTGCAATAGAGAATCTTACACTGAAGGTGCCAGAGGGAGGTTATTAAACTATTCTCATGAGATAATGGTTTAAATGTGCTACACGTGAGAAATCACAAAAACATATTATTTGGAAGCAAAGGAGTACCAAACTTGCTTTTATCAACACTCCAGAGACCTTGTAATTAATCACACATTCAAGGTTGAAACCAGTTGTATAGCAACTGTTCACCGTAAATATGTGATGAGCCCTTCTTTAGAAGTGATTTTTCCTGATTGTTAAGAATCCATGTTTAGTTTTGATCATTTCAGAGATAAGTCATTTGAAGATGTAATTCTCTATTTTCTTTTTTGAGAGGCTTAGTGTTGAAAATGATTTTTATCATTACTATTATTATGCATGTCCATTATTATATTGTTTTACATCATTGTCATTTTTTTGAGAAGTATAGGATAATTTATGTTAAACTGAATTGCCATGGTCTCATTAAAAGCTTTGGTTTTCTTGCCCCTTTTTTTCTGTAAAGCTGCTATTTGTAATTTATGTTTCCTCTCATTGTAAGTTTTTATTATGTCCTCCTTGTGATTGTAACTTTTTTTCTTTCTTTTCAAAGTATTAGTCTTTATTTCCTATTTTATTAGGAACTTAGGATAGTACTGAGCATATACTAATAGAAGTTGTTCAACGTATATGTGATCAATGAAGAATTAATGGTGATGGGGAATTTTGCTTTTGGTCAAAGTAGAGTAGAAGAGATTGAATTTATATTACAATCCAAAACAACCAAAATAATTAGATAAAATGTATAAGCAATAATTTTCAAGATAATGAATATCTGGCAACAAAGAACTATAATCCTTGAGAGACAGAAAAATATACTAGATAAATAAATAAATACTACAATTGCCTCAGCTCCTGGCTTTGAGAGAATTTCCAGGCTATGTTAGCAGAAACCCGATAGAGCCCATGAACTTCCTGAGTTGCAGAACAATAGCTGAGAATGAAAGAAGACCAAAGCTTTTAGACTTAATTAAACAGAGCACAGGATAAGAGAGAACTAACTTCACACAGAGAGATTCCTGGAAGTTTACAGAGGGTCCCTGAAAAAATTTCTGATTTCAATTACCATTTGGGTAGTGGGGAGGTTTCCCACACCATCAAGGAGCAATTCTCCAACAATTAGTCAATTCTGATACTTTCTATCTGCAGATAGTATTAGATTTCATACATTAAGAGCTCAGTCCCACAAGACATCCCTCTACTCAAGGTTTCAATTTGCAAATCCATATTGTTACCTGTTCTTGACCAACTGTGTAAAGATTGCAGTGTCCTACCTGTCTCTCTCCACTCCCTGCTACAACCCAGGGGTTTAATGCAGGCACTAATTGCAAGTTTAGATTGTTACTTGTATTTATGACTAACTGGTTGTAAATTAGAAGTTCCTATTACCTGCTCCTCATGTTCAATTAATTTGCTTGAGCAGCTCACATAACTAAGAAAATCTGATAATTAGATTTTTCGATTTATTCCAAAGGGTAAAAGAATATGAGTCAACAGCTAAATGAATATAAATGTCAAAAGTCTCAGAAAAAGGAGCTTGTGGAGTTTGGGGCCTAGATAGTGGCATAAGAAGTGTACCAATCTGGAAGCTCTCTAGACACCCTCCCCTTTTTTTGTTTTATTTTTTATGAAGGCTTCATTAAATAAGCAGGACAGATAAAGACATTAATCATTGATAATTGATTCAATCTCCAGCCCTCTCCAAAAATCAGGGCATGGACTTCAAAGTTCCATCTTTAAAAAAAACAAAACAAATTTCTTTCTTGATTAAGGTATTACATATGTATCCTTACACCCCCTCCCCCCAATTGCCTTCTCCACCCCACTCTCACACTCTCATTTCAATCAGAAAGGATATATGCACCCCTATGTTCATAGCAGTACTATTTAAAATAGT